GTGTGTGTATGTGGGTGTGTGTGGGTGTGTGTGGGTGTGTGGGTGGGGGTGGAATGTGTATATGTGTGTGTGTGGGGGGGGTGTAGTATGTGTAGTGTGTGTGTGGGTGTGGGGACGAAGTGTGTGTATGGGACGGAGTGTGTGTGTGGGATGGAGTGTGTGTGTGTGTGTGTGTGGTGTGTGTGTGTGGGGTGTGTGTGTGTGTGTGTGTGTGTGGTGTGTGTGGGGTGTGTGGGGTGTGTGTATGTGTAGTATGTGTGTGTGGGACGGAGTGTGTGTGTGGGATGGAGTGTGTGTGTATGTGTGGGTGTGGGTGTGTAGGGTGCTGTTTTGTGTTGAACTGTAGACAGCTCCTTGTTTTCTTCATGAAACTCCCCAGGTCCTGGCCCTGCCCCCAAGCCTCCAGCCAGCTGCAGAGGTGAGTGTATTTAGTGATGTCACTCAGCACAGACGACTCTCAAGTGGATGCAAGTGAGCTGTACAATGAGTACAAATGGGTTGTCTCAGACGTGCAACCCGGCACGAGGTCCACACTTCTGTAGCACAGACTCCCGCCTCAGTGGCCTTTGGGTACTGGTGGGAGGGGACACGATCCTTGTTCCCTGGGGACCAGTGCGCTTTGTGTTGCCAAGGTGGCCATGAACACAGTCAGGAGGAGAACACAGGCTCTTCCTGGACAAAGGCAAGTGAGGCAGCCGGACGGAAGAGATGTTGCTCTCCAGGAGCAGCAAGGCAGGAGCTTTGGAAGGTGGAGCTCATCTGGAGCCACACACGAAGGTCATGTTTGTGAGACCCCATACGAAGAAGGCAGCACCGGCAGCTTGTCTGGTGCAGCTCTGGTTTGTTCTCGGCACAGGCCAGCTAGAAGATGGCAGGGCAGGCGCCCCTCCTGGGGAAGCCACGTGTGGTGTCACAAGCCTGTGATCCCAGCACTGGAAAGTGGAGGCAGGAGGGGCAGGGGTTCAAGGCTAGCCTCAGTTACATTTCACGTTCAAAGCAAGCCTGGGCTACATGAGGCTCTGTCTCAAAACAAAAAACAAAACCGAAACAACCAAACCACTGCTCTCAAATAACAACAAAATTAACTCCCTCCCTCCCAAACAACGCACTGTCAGGAGACTATGTCATGCAGACTCAGATCTGGACAGTGGACTGTGCCTGGATTCTATGTATGTCTAGGATGCGGCTTGTTGCTCCCCACAGAGTGTGTATTTGGGGTCTGTACCCCTAACTAACAGACTCTTGGAACAGGCCACAAGACAGCTCTGAGAGGAGGCGCGCTTAGCCCATCCCATCCCATCATGATTCTATTCCTTTGTTTGGTCTCTTGGCATGGGAGCCCAGCGTGGAAAAGGCCAAACTAAAGCAAGCAGCTTGTGCTGAGGGGACTAGTGAGTCCAGGTGGCTGCTCCAGTCTGTAGGAAGCACCTTTCCCCACCACACAAAGCAGAAGCGTTGAGAAGCTTAAAACAGAATGCTACCCACCAGGGGCCTCCTAAGGAAGAGACAGAGGGAGACAGGCTCAGGAACTCTGTGACAGAGCAAAGCGTGCCGCTGTCCTCTGTGATGCTACAGGATTTCTGGCAATGACCAGAGTGTACAAGGCTGACAGAATACGCTCCCAGACTGCAGGTTCTCTGCACATCAAACTGCCGTGAGACAGTATGCAGCCTGGGAGGCTCCCAGTGGGCCCCCAAGCAGGAAAACAGCCTCAGGTCACCCTCAGATCCATCCTTTGGCTTTGCCTGTTGCTGCTGGCAACAGGACACTGATCAAGGCCCCTTGTCCTCACCTTGGGCTTGGAGGGTTAGACAGATCCCACACTAGAGGCACTGAGGGAACTCTGGGAAAGCAGCAGGATGACAGGCGGTGTGTTGTGAGGAGAGAGGAGTGCCCTGAGAATCAGGCAGGTCACAACCTGCCGGGAAGCCTCAGCCAAGGAATCAGTTCTGTTATCTGTAAAATTTGCTGGAATCTGAGGGAAAGGACGCCACTAATGTCCAGTCTAATCCAGATGACCTTTCGGGTCATCTCAAGGTTAATTTAGATCCTGAATAGATGGCTACAGCTCAGAAAGATGCCTAGACACACTGCCCAGCTGGCCCAGAGTGGCCATGTGCAAAGAGCAGTGTTCTCAGTCTGGCTGCTCTCTCAGGCCCCCTGTTCCTGGTGCCTTTGTGCTTTTCTGTGATGACGACTTGAATAAGTAGCCTGGGGCTTTTCTCCAAGCTGACAAAATACAAGTGAAGAAAGCTTCCCAAGGTCATCCCTAGCCTGAGGCTGCAAACAGGCCAATCTCTGTCATCACAGCAGGGGTTCTTGGGAGCGCTAAGGCAAGATGGATGGAGGCTATGGTGCTGGTAGCTATGGTGCTGGTAGCAGCCGGGGACAGCTGTGAGGTTGACTGTGATTCATCTGGGTGCAGGACATACACAGGCAATCATTCTTCCTTTATCTCGGTAGCTGGTTCTGTCCAAGACCAGGAGTTTCTATTAGGAGTTGCTATCTTTTCTGTGACACAGAGAATCTGTGCTCTTGGAGAAGCTGAGAAACGGGAACCCCTCTCTGGCAGAGGATTTAGCCTGTAAAACAGCTCAAAACAGATCAAACTGGGCAGCCCCGATTCTGTGCACGATTAATTTCAAGATTTGCCCATTGCCAATTTTGAGCTCATGTCATCTGATAAGACTTAAGTGCTTTCAAGGATGAGCTATTTCTTAATTGTACAATTAAATTCTCTCCAGTGCACAGCTGGCTTCTGTAACCCGGGCGAGGAGATTCAACTAGAGACCTATGTCTGGAAGATGCCAGGTCTGCAGCGGTTCCCTGTGGGAAGGTGATACCCAGGGACATGTTACCTTCTCACCTCTGCCCAAAGTGATACCCAGGATAACATCACATTACAGCCAGAAGAAATTATGGACAAGGATGAATCTGCTCATTGTGGGGAGTGGGAGGAAAGAACGCCCTGCAGGTTCTAATAGCTAACCTGTAGTTACCATTCATCACTGCTAGGAGCCGGTTCAAACCGGAACAGAGTTAGCCCCAGTTTTCAGGAAGGATTTGAGGATTGCAAGCATAGAGGGCTCCCCCGATTTTCTGTAGCAACTATCTCTGCAGATTGGCAGTCTAAGGTGACGGTTCTAAGACCCACCTAGCCACCGAGGACACCCTGGGAGTCATGGAGATGCTATTCCTTCCCTTATCCCTACCTAGCATCAGGCCCTCCCTGCTGTGCATGGTGTTTGCACACTGCCTGCTCACACACCCCAACTGAAACGGCCATCCCTTCAGTCTGAATCACAGGCACATCATGTGTCCTCCTTACTGGTGTCTGCCTGGTCACTGAGGCTGAGTACAATGTAATCACCTCTGTCCCCTGCAAAGTTACCTTCCTCTCTTGGACCTTAGAGGACACCGGATACTCTTCCCATCCTGAGGGGCAGGACTCTGCCTTCCTTCTGACCTTCTGATCTGTTTTCCCCTGCAGCTCGAGACTTTGTAGATGCTCCACCTTTACCAGGAAGGTCCATGGTTGTCTCCTTTTCCTGGCTGAGGTCTCGGCCAACACTCCTCTCCATGAAGATGCCCCCAGCCACTAGCCTGGCCTTCTGGGTTTTCTCCAGTTTTAATCTTATCCTTTATTTCTTGGGATTTCTGTCAGTTTGGTGCCATATGCTATCCACGTGTTTTTTCTTTGTCTCTCCCCCCAAGTAGCCTGGAGGTGCCACTGAGGTAGGAACCCTGTCTGCATCCTCATAGTGGCTGCCATACAGAAGGCACTCTGAAAGAAGGGAGCTGTGTTCTGTGTCCTCACAGCCACGTAACTGTGAGTGTGGCATCTACTTGTGCCCACACTTAGGTAAGGGTGCTTACCTGGTATCTGGTGGGCTTGCTGAAAGTGTTGTTTGCTGTCAGGTTCTCAGAATTCCTCATGCCAGCCTGGTAGCGAGCCTTCTAGAACAAAGAAAGGAAAATACATACATGCATGGCAGGGCTTGGAGTAATCTATATACAGAGTGTGGGGAACCTTCTGGAAATGGATTTGGAAATGGCTTAGCTTCCTAGACCGTTGCTCCTGGGAACTGAGTTTCTGTAGGGTTGTCATAGTAACAGACTGTTGTTGGCCCATTTGATCTAGGAAGCCCTGAGTTTTGTGTCTTTCTTCTAGAACTCCTCAGAGATTCTGGGACACTGGGACCCCAGAAGTGGGAGAGAAGAAGTGGGGAACTCTGTTCTCAGATCATCCTCAGCTGCTTTCTGTAAAAAGCTCTTCTACCTCCACATGCTCTAGGGCAGTGTTTCTCAACCTGTGGGTTGGGACCCCTGGGGAGGGGGGGTCAAACAACCCTTTCGCAGGGGTCACCTAAAACCATCTGCAAATCAGATATTTACATTATGATTCATAACAATAGCAAAATTACAGTTATGAAGTAGCAACTAATAATTTTATGGTTGGGGTCACCACACCATGAGGAACTGTATTCAAGGGGCGCAGCGTTAGGAGGGTTGAGAACCACTGCTCTGGGGAATTCCCTGTGCTGGGGTCAGCTCTTTCCGGGCAGCTTGCTGAACTGAAAGCATCTCTAAGGGACTCTGGGACGTTCTGCTGGGTGGTGCTTTGCCGAGGAGGTGCCTGGTAGATCCGGCAAGGCAATGGCTCCTTGCAGCTCCTAGCTCGCTGGCTTGCTTTGTGCCAGGGGGCTGTTGGAAGCCAGGAGTCAAACAGCCCCACCCACACCCCCTCTGCCCTTTCTCACCCCATAAGCCAGGTGCTACCTACCCTGAATCTGGAGTTCAGCATGCCCATTTCAAGGTCGTTTTCACAGCTTTTGGCCTTAGATTTGCAGAGCTTTATGAGGCACATCTTGATTCTCATTATGAGATAATAAAAGGACTTAGGACTTGGCACTAGGTTGAAAGGAGCAGGCAGAGTTCTCCCTTCATCAAAGTAAGAAAGCCAGAGCTTCGCTCGGGCAAACTTCCACTCCACATCTGCGTCTTCCTGTGAAACAAAGGAATCGGTCACACACCAGAGGCCACAGCTTAACATCTGAGCAGAGTGTGAAGGGACCAGGTCCACAGTGTTTGAGCAGATCGCTGGGCAGGACTGGTGTGCTGTGGGTATGTACCCGTTTGTGATGGCACAGGACAGGGGTATCTCCGAGGCTGTGTGCAAGCATCACTTCTAAAGCTCTCTTCCTGCCTCGGCATCATGGTGGGAGAGCCCCAGCCAGGGCTGTGCGCTCCCCTCCGCCCCACTCCCCTGGTGTCCTCACCAGTGTTTCCCACCGCAACTCATGAGCACTGTCTTGACTGCAGCCTCATCCTTCTGTCTGCCAGCTTCACAGCTCTGGCCACTGCGCTGTCAAGTCAATCATCTCGTAAAGGGGAGCCACCCAGAAATGAACTAAGAGCCTGAGGCGATGGGGTTTAGAATCATATACATCTGGTGTAGAAGTCTCTCATTGACTATGTGGCTTGAGCTTGTGAATCCACAGAGTGTGGGTTCCACGGGCTCCGACATGTTGTGCTGAGGCAGGCATCAAGTGTATGCTTGTTTGCACAGGCAGGGGCTACACACCAAGGCTCTGTGCGCCCGTCAAGGATGCACCTATGCGAGCCTGCTCAGATGGACCACTAGCATATGAGCCCATAACCAGCAGGCTGTCCTTTGCTTTCTATTGCTAAAGCTCCACACTTGACCTGTGTACACTGGGACACAACAAATGGATCTTGTACACTACAAACTTTGTGAGGATGGGGTCACTCTTGGGATAGCAGGGATACTGGTAAGAATATGGCTTCTGGAGCTGGCATGGGTTCAAATCCTGGCCATGGTCCTTACTAGTTGTGAAACTATGCTTGCTATCTGACTTAGCCATTCTGGATCTCAGTTGTCTCATTTAGAAAATGGGAATACATAATAATTACCTGCTTCATAGGTAGCAAAAGAACTAAAGGAACTATGCATAAAAGACATTTAACCATGCCAGGACTGACTAGGAATATCGTTTATTCCTTTTATTTATCCATAGCTGGGCACGGGCCTTGCTGTCAGCTTTCAGCCACACAGCAAACATATTTTACCCCATATTTTTAAAAGAGGAAGCATGTCTTTTGGAATACACAGTCTGGCCAATGGCATGTCGGGATAAATCACCCATCAGCCCACCTTGGACTTGATCAAGAGATGTGCCAGAGCTGAGAGGGGATCTGTGTTGGGGCTGGCCTAACCTGGGGTTCAAAGTCTATTCATGGCTGATATTCGAACTGGATAGTTCTCAACCAGTGTGAGGGGGTGAGGTGGAGTGAAGAACGGGTCTGAGTCAGTCGTGGAGGGATGCTGAGAAGCATGAACCACGGGTGGCAGAGCCGCGAGAGTCCAGGGGAAAGAGGATTTTCTCATTTTTAAGAGGAAATTGTTTGATCAAGGGATTTATTTGAATGC